AATATTTTACCATTCAACTATTTACTTCATGTAGAATCAGAACTAAAAGTATTGTCGAAGGTTACAATGACGACGTGTAATGATGAGAGCTCTCTGAGGAGGGAAGGACGCTTCTGAGAATTTACTAAATATTTGTGACGGAAATCGAAAAGATTCTAAGAATATTGAATTTAAGATGCAACTAAAATAAACGCATTTAAAATGAAAAGTTTGTTATGAATACGTTTAGCTGCATTGAATATGGGGAATGAGAGAACATAACCGCATCAAAAATTTCATGCTAGTTTACCAATAGAAACGCTGGCACTTGGTATTTGCACTTCCTCCTCCTTTGACAAACAACGTGTTTTCGTCATGTGTTTCCGTTCTCTTTTCAAATATAAATAATCATTAATAATAAATAATATATTTTATTTTATAGAATCCTCCGACTCTGAGCTCGAAGATGACGAAAATGTTCAAGAAGGAGTATTTTACTTGTTGAAAGAACTCGCCTTTATCATCGCCAGCAAAGAGATTTTCAGGGCAGACAAAGTAGCTGTAATCTATCATCGTAGTTGGCCGGTGTATGAGAAATTCGTGAACGGCGGATATGACGGAGAGCCTAAGCAGGGACTGGGACTAGCAATCATCAAATATATCGATCACTAACTGTTGTACTTAGGAATAATTGGGTGTCATAGCTTGAATTACATTAATTAAGAGTATGAATTAGACCTCTTTAGCTCGAATATATTATTTTTCCTATTTCAGTCCACGTTTCATTCTCTTAAAATAAGTTCCTGTTTGAGTTGAATAGAGGTTTTGCACCACCACGTGATGGCAGCCATGTTAGATGGCAGGAACAATACAATCGTTTTACATGAGAAAGAACTCAATTCCCGAGAGCAAAGGGATTTCATTGTTCTGCCATCTAACCACAGGCAGTCCCAGCTGGATTACGGGCGCCGACACGTATGTTTCTTCTCATGCACAACCGTTAAACAAAGAAGTAATACTCTAGAGAATGATGGTCTGAAATAGGAAAACATTACACTCCAAGTAAAGAGCGCTATTTCATATTATATACATGTATAAAAAAAGATGTTCATATTTATAATGGGGTTTATATTTTTTAATCTGATAATAGGATTTTTTGGACTAACAACGCACTTGTAAATTATTGAATATTTAAATTATGTTTTCATCAAGCTAATGCTTCTTGGAAAAAGTTGTTAAGAATCATTTTATTAATATAAATATTAAATTTTCTTTAAACCTTTATGTGGAGAGATTGTCATAATAAATACACATTGATAAACTATAATAATATGGTCTTCCTACCTCGCATGCGGCATTTCTAAAAGATTTTACTCTTGTCGTTCTTGGAAGAGAGAGTTACTTGCGCAAACATTTCATGTTTCATCTGGAATCTTTTTATTCCCACCTTCGCTTGTTCCCTGACCATGTTTGCAATGGTATGAGGACCTGACTCTAACGCAATTCCTCGGTGTAGAATTTGAGTTTTCCGTCGAGAGAAGCAGCCGCCAGCTAAACAGAAAAACAAACGAATGATTTGAATTTCATTAGACTATATGGATTATCGGATTGACTTTAAGATAGTATCCAGCACTGGACTATATGCTACAGCTGTATCCCCTGTCCCCAAACTGAGGACTGTATCCGCCATCTCCCTGGGGATCCCCTGGGTATCCCTTGTCAGTATATCCTCTTGTCCCTATTGCTTTTGATAAGCATGGTGTCTCTCCATCCCCTTGTCACTGTGTTGAAACATTGACATTTCTGCTATATTACTGCTCTTGCAGCACAGTGTTGCTGCTGTTGTTGCAAGAAATGTCGTAGTACACTGCACTTTTTCTCTTGTGCAGGCTTTATAATAACATATATATTTGCAAAGGTAACCAAAAAGCATTACATGACGCAGATGGATTACCTCAGAGTGCGCAGGATGAAATGCGACATCAGCAACTACTTCTGTATGTCCCGTCAAGCGATGACAAAACGAAGAACCGCGAACATCAAAAAGATAAACCTTGAAACAAAGCGAAAAGACAAAACTAGTTATTGCCTTGTGCTAATCTTTCTTTCTCATTGGTTGGGGATGCGTGCATTCTAAGAGCACACAGCACACGCGCGCACTTTCTATCTTGTCATTCGTATCCAAAATAACGGCTGCTCAAATAATAAAAAAAAGTTACATAAAGACGTGCGTGATTGATGTGCTGTACTTAGTTATAGCAGTTTTCGCATGACTGTGAAAAGCGCAGTGTCGTAAGCGTGCAGTGCCTTAACCGTGAGTTTTTAGAATTTTAATTGGCTGATTTTTTTCTCGCGCAATGTGATTGGTCTGACAGTGCCGTGACCTTGGCGTGACCGTGTCCGCGCTGTGTTTATGCCGTGTTCCGGGTATTTGATTGGATGGAGAATAAATTCTCAGGCAAAGTGATTGGTCGGGCGTACGCCTTGCCGTGTCACGACCGTGTTCGTGCCGTAAGATTTTCAGTCTACTCTATAAAGCACTGGGGATTGGCCAAGCACTCGCTAACTCGTTCCGAACACTTCTCTCGTGTTCTCCGCCTGCTTTATAATTGCGCACAGCACGCGCGCGTGTTTTCGTTTTCATCAGTAATCTATAAAAAGTCAATATATTATTCATAAATGCTATAATTATAGGCAAACAAAACCACAATCCTAGATTAATTTTCAATCTCTAGAATGCGCGCTCGTCCAAATTCCGAGAGGATATAAAACTACTAGAAAGAGGAATACTTATCGACGGGAAATCTGGTTCTCGAGGTCATACCCTATGCAGTACATATTGTGTAAAACTCGAGTCTTACCGAACGATCCTCAGAGCCTGTTGCTATGTATCTTGAACAAGGACTGATAGCGATCCCTGTGGGATGAGATCTATTCACATGTCCTTCGTAACGTCTCACACACCTTAAATTGAAAACAATATCCTGAATCACAAACGCTTCACATTTTATCGATACCCTGAAACCCTCTGGGCTGATCTAAGTCATGGCACGGCTTACTCACAGATCAAACCCTGAAACAACCTCTGGGCTGATCTAAGTCAGGGCATGGCTAACTTGCAAAATAAATAGGAATTTAGCGTGGTTTTACGGAGGGAGGAAAACTGGAGAAAAACCCACTCGTATCAAGGAAGAGAAAACAAACAAATATAGTTATTTTCTTAAATTCATAACTTATGGGCGCCAAAAATTTAATAGTCACTGATAATGATTAATGATGATTTTTTTATCATAATTCTTACCGGTTTGTCCTGAGGTCCCACATCTTGATTCCATCGGTTACTGCAGCCGTCAGGAAAAGGTCGTACGCTTCGGGCGAATGGGATGCGTACGCTGATCCCTAAATGAAGAAAAAATGAGAATAAGAAAAGTGGGAAGACATCGGTTGCTGGTAATCATCTGATGACACTTGTGAAGAGGTAAGGGTGGCGTGGGAAAGCTTGGAATCAAAGGATAATCTTCCCCAGCAATTTGAAAAAGGGTAACAATGACGCAAAACTGAATGGGTCTGTACTCTTTGTTGATACAACCTATGCCTCACAACGATGCAATATAACAGTGGGTTTACTTTGTTTTACGTGCATCCGAACGAGGGTTAGAGGGTATCTGCATAATATTAGACCATCCATACATACGGAACAAAGAAGTATAGATTCAGGAAAAGAAGCAACGTATGGAACAAACTAGGTCTCAGCCGGGGTAGAGGCGTAATCGATGAGGAAGCCCTTTTCTTCGAATCCAAACCTTTTTGTGCCTTTATGCTAGCGGTTCTATGTACGTCGTACCTGATTCTGGCAAATAGCGTGGGCAGGACGAGAATGAGCATCCATAAGGACGCGCACACTCCGTCCCACATTCATGTCAAACACTTCAATAGATTTGTTTGAACCACAACATAGTGTAATATCTTAGGGATTCATGTTAAGTATATAATCACCCGAGTTCATGTTCTACCCTATCTAAGGGGAAACGTAATAGACAAATGACAATGCCAGAAGTGGACACTGCTTAATGCCCAATCTCCTGAATCTTACGCGAGTTCCGGGCGTTGATCCGCGAAGCTTAAAGACTACGTGTCTTTTTTCACTTTTGGGAGGGAGAGGGTTGGGGGCACACTGATCAAAGTGAATGATGTTCAAAAGAAGTAGTGATTTTTTTTGTTAGTTGATGGTGAAAGGATACAAGAGTGGAAGCCGTTAACGCATGAGAAACACGTGATGCTTTGCGCACGTTCTTGTTGGAAGAGTTTCACCAGTTTGTATTTACTGTGGCTTTGATACCTAAAAGAATGAAGAACGAATATGGAGAAACTGAAAGGAATTTCCCATTTATTATTATTTTTCTATTCCACCCTTTTTCGTAAACGCCCTGGGTCTAGGACAAGGGATTCCAGTGAATGACAGGAAAGGGGAAATTGATACAGTGCAGTTTTCCTTCCTCTTGTCTTCTGTTTTCTTTTCCTCCCCTTCCCTTTCCATCCCTTCCCTCCCCTTTTTTCTTTTCCTCCCCTTTTTCCTCCCCTTTTCATTTGCCCACTCTTCCTGCATCCTTACTCTCCAAAGCTCTTCCAATAATAATAATAATAATAAATAATAACAATGACAATAGTAATAATGATAATAATAATAATAATAATGATGATGATAATGATGATGATGATAATAATAATAATAATAGACCCCTACTCTCTCACGCACCATCTAACATATTATCACATCTAATACTGACCTCTTGATATCATCTTTTTGTGGGTCAATATGGTACTTGTACAGATACAAACCATTGCCACAACTGACCATTATAAACTTGTCCACGTAGTAAAACGACGCTTGAGTGATTTCCTTAGGAAAAGGGGGATTGTCCTGCAACGATATGAAAAACGTTAATGTCAAAATATGTACGAAAACATTTCAAGTTCTATAAGATTTTCCGTAGGCTAATCCCTGTCTGGAGGCATAACACTAATGTACTAACAAATCACTCATGACTGTAAGCTGCACGGCTGCTACTAGCGCCTTAATATGCAGTCCGTAAAGTCCTCCACTGGTCATTAATGTAAAGCGCATTGAGACGTTGTATAAATGCGCTATATAAGAACTTCCCATTATCATTATTGATTCTGAGTCGGCTAATAAGGATACCCAAAATGCATTTGTATATTTTTATATCTCAAACAGTGTCCAAAACAACGAATTCATTGGGGAACCGGATTCATTCTCTCCTAGAAACCCCAAAAAATCGTGATTTTTTTTTGTATTTTTCTTTTACCCTCATTCTTTGAAAAAGTGGTCTATGTGAAGTCGTTTTTCTCCAGACATAAGAGACGTCACAGATTTTGACCCGGAAGAACCGGGCTAAAGTGAAAGTGGTCTATGTGAAGTCGTTTTTCTTCCCAGACATAAGAGACGTCACAGATTTTGACCCGGATGAACCGGGCTAAAGTGAAAGTGGTCTATGTGAAGTCGTTTTTCTTCCCAGACATAAGAGACGTCACAGATTTTGACCCGGAAGAACCGGGCTAATGTAAAAGTGGTCTATGTGAAGTCGTTTTTCTTCCCAGACATAAGAGACGTCACAGATTTTGACCCGGATTAACCGGGCTACCTGTGGTCAAACTTCTTCCGCAACTGCTCGTACATTATGAATTCATTACACATACTATATTACCAATATTACCTTATTCTTTGCTTTTGTATCCGACTCAGTGTTGAAGTTATGACTGACAGTGGTGAAGGTCAATAGAGGATCGGAAAGGGCTGGGCTCCACAGACGAACGGTTCGATCAGTAGATGACGTCAGCAGCCATTTATTGTCATGACTGAACTGTATATGGGTTAACGAACCATCGTGTCCTGATCAGAAAGAAAAATAAGATGTTTTATTTATGTAAAACGTATTTTATGAAAATAGCGCATCTGTATGAATGGTAATGTGAACGTTCCGTGCCGTGCCGTGCCGTGCCGTGCAGTGCCGTGTGCCGTGTGCCAACTGTCCTATTTTACTAAGACGTCACGACTTGTTTATAAGGGGGACAGAATGGTGAAGAGTAATACGACATTGGGGTAATTTTACTCTGCAGCTGTATTAACAGCTCTGAAATGTCTGGTTTTGAAATATTTCATAAACCGGTGTTTGTCCTACAATGCATACGATATTTCAGTGGTGTCTATTATTGCTTTTCTAAGTTCTAAAAACATACATTTCCCCCGCTGTTTTCTTTGTTTTATTGCTGTTTTGCCCCCCTCCCACAACCATCATTCTTAGCGTTAAAACAAAAGATTGTTTTCATGTAAAGTCGTGTTGTAATAAGGCATTTCTGATTTAGTATTATCTATAATCAACGGTAAAATCACAGTCTATGTTATCAGTTCCATACCTGTAAGAACCGTGTCTTTATTGTTCGATGGAGGTACTCGAAGAATGCGTGCGCTTTTGTTGGACAAGGCGCACGCTAAATGTCTACCATTGCCACTGTAAGTAATACAATTGATGCCTGTTGGCTGGCTGGTCAGGGACATCTTTTCCTGGAGGTGTGTTGGTGGATTGCTTTGCATTGGGTATTCTTTTCCTATGACACTAAAGTGGAAACATCATTTTTAGGAAACTGGATGTTTTAGTGGGAAGTGTGAAATGGGATGAATGAAAGGATGCAAAAGGAAAGATTACAGGGAGGGAGGGAGAGAAAAGAAGGAAGGAAAGAAGAAGGGATGGAGAGAGAGAGGGAGGGAGGGAGAAAGGAAGGAAGGAAGGAAGGAAGGAAGGAAAAAAGGAAGAAAGATTAAATCATTCAGGCATTTTATCATAACAAGCGCAGAAGTTAATTTCCT